GGGCTGGAGACTATTGACAATGTTCGGTCGAGCAGTGCGAAGGATTGCTGTAATTTCGCTGCCGCACCCAGCTTGTCCTTGCGACTCGCTGGCATGGGCACGCTGAGCGTTCCTTGCGACACTCCACCGCCGTAGAGCCCAAAGCGGGCACAAGCTGTGTTACTGTATTACTGTATTACTGTAGTACTGTAATGCTGTATGACTGTATTCCTGTACTACTGTATTACTGTATTCCTGTATTACTGTATCACTGTATTACTGTATTGCTGTATTGCTGTATTGCTGTACTACGGTATTTCTGTACTACTACAATAATGAATTAGTATATTATAGTATGATTGCAGTATTCTATATTACTAGATAATGAAAAAGTCATTTTGTCATATTCGTACTAACAGAGGCCCTACATGACCTTGCAACGGTGGCAGAGTGTCGCTCCAGCGCTCAGGACTATCATCACCGACCAATGCCAAGTGATGAGAAGTCACATCTGCTGTGTCCCCATAGTTCATGTATAGTGCGTATATGTATATATATATATAGATATCTATATATAGATATATTTAGATATATAGATATACATATATATATATACAAAGATATGTATTCTCATTTTGTTGAGTGATGTTGCAGCATAAGCCATGTAGTATATACTTATAGTATATGTATATGATACGACGCTTTATTAGATTGCATTATACAAGCTGTATGCGGTGCGAATAATAGTAGTAGTGAGACCAGTAGCAGTAAGGGCAACAATGACAATTGCAGTGTCAACGGGAATAACAAGAACAACAGCAATAAGAATCCTATCATCAATAGACACACGAATATACATGTACATATAAACCATATATAGAGGTCTTGTATAGACCTATATATGCTGTGTACATATACATATATATATATATACATATATCTATGTATATCTGTACAGATATATATATATATGTATATACATATACATATACATATACATATACATATACATATATATATATGTATATGTATATATACATATTATATATATATATATTATTATATTTATCTATTTATTTTTATTATACATATATATGTGTGTGTGTATATATATATGTAAGCTCAGCAGCTTGCATCTTCGGGATCGTCTATTGTTGGAAAGCACACTCCCAACTCTTGCTTGGCATGCGGCCAGCTATGCTAGAAATTGCAGACGCGTCTCTGGCGGGTGCGTCGAGGATGGGATGTCCCATCCCAGTGAAAGAGCGAAAAACATGTGGGTCGTTCTCTGAATTAGGTCCCGTTTAGGGTCTTCACTCTAAGGGTGCCGCCTTCTATGGGGGACCCAAAAAGGGGCCCTAATTTAGAGAACTACCCATGTTACCCACGACGATGGAAAACTGTTTTGCCATCCACGAGCTTGTTCACATTAAACCGGGGTCCGTTTTTTTGCGGAGGCCTACGGAAGCCCAAAGGAGGCTGGGCAACTGGGTTTCCATTGCCAGCCAAAGTTTTGTCCGTGCGAAAAGCTCAGCAGACTTGTAGGCAAAGCGGGCCATCAGTGAAGGGGGCTGCGAACAAGTTGAGGGTTTCGAAACCCTAAACCCTAAACCCTAAACCCTGGACCTAACCCCTAACCACGGAGACTGGCGCTGTGGCGCTTCGAGAACCATTAACATCACAACTCTATGTCATGGTGCAGCCCCTTCCCTCGACCCGAGGAAGGCTTCAAAAACAATGTTTGAATTCGACCTGGAAGCAAGGATGCGACAGTAGCCGGTAGACTCGCACCCCGAAACGAGATATAAACCCAAACTCCCCCAAAACGAACAAGCTGCAATAAGGGGCAGGTGCCGGAGAACATGTCCCAAACGCCCCGACACCGGGAAAATCAGCAACTCTCAAACTCAACCCTACACACCTTGAATCCTTGTTGGGGTTACATTAAAAATCATCACTTGTTATTCCTTATTGGGCATTTAAGAAGATAAGAATGTAAAACTATAACCAACAAGGGCCCAGAAACCCCACCCACAAGCCCATAGCAAAGCCTGCAAGCCCACAACAACAAGAGCTAAACCCCACAACAAGAAGCTCGAAGAACAACAGCCTGAACCCCTGAACCCTAAAACCCTAAACTCCTAAACCCTTGCACACCTGAAAGCGCTAAACTCCCAAACCCCTACCCCGGTCCTCCAATCCGCCTAAATCCTTTCAACCCGAAACTCCCACGCCCCCACCAAAATACTTAAACTTAAGGCCCTAAGACCTCTGCCCCTCAACCCCCCCCCCCCCCCCCCCCCCCCCCCAAAAAAAAAACTCTTCAATCCTGAAACACTGAGCTCTATGGAAGCCCTTTTGATACCCGTACAACCCTAAACCCTGAAACCCCTAAACCCTGGAGCCCTCAAGCCGAAGGCCATCCTTCCAGGCCCTAAACCCTAAACCCTAAACCCTAAACCCTAGACCCTAAACCCTAAACCCTAGACCCTAAACCCTAAACCCTAAACCCTAAACCCTAAACCCTAAACCCCTTAACCCCTGCAAAGCCCTCAAGCCGAAGGCCATCCTTCCAGAGTGGTGCAGGTCTGGACGGAAGAATTGGAGGCCAACACGGAAGACGCAGCGCGGCGCCCGGTTTTGCTGAGGGCCAGCTTTTTTTGGGGGTTTAGGGTTTAGGGTTCAGGGTTCAGGGTTCAGGGTTCAGGGTTCAGGGTTCCCGCCTTATACTAGCAGTCCATTCATCGGGATTCAAGTAACCCCTGTTAGAATCCCTATGAGGGACTTGTTGGTATAAGGGGAACATCCCAAGGTGTAGAGTTGTCAGGGTTGAGTTGTTTTGGGGTTTTGCTGCCAAGGTACAGAAGAATGATAGCTTGGTAAGGTTAGTTTGTGCTCTTTATGTATATGTGTATATATGTACTTCGGAACCACAAGAGGTAGGGAACATGTTTCTGGGAACTTTTGCAGAATGATGAAGGGTGACCTGAGATGGGAGTACTGCTCCTGCTTGCAAAAGGGCCTTTTGGCCAAAAAGACTTTCGGCCCTAAACTAGGCCCCAGAGCTGTAGATGCGTGTGCCTTAGGAGCTTGGGACCGTCTAGAATTTGGGTTGAAGAGCAAGCCCTAAACCCGAAACCCTAAAGCCCTAAAGCCCGAAAGCCCGAAGCCTCGAGTCCCCTCTATAGGAGGCTTCGAGGGTTTATGGATTGGCGTTCGGGGTTTGGGAGTTTGGGGTTTAGGCGTGGGATCTGTGATGCCCTGAGGCTTTGAGGTTCGTGTTTCGTGATTCCAGGAGCCGGCTTTGTGCTAACTGGTCGTTCCAGGAAGCCGTGAGACGACGCAGAGCTGGAGAGCAACGAAGAGCTGCCGAAAAGCACGGAGTCCAGCCCTGCGGCTACAGTGCGTTCTTCTGACACCTCCGGATGGGACCCCCCATACCCGGCTCTTCCACGTGTGGATTGCAGGGAGCGGGAGGGCAAGGGGCAATGGCCCCGAGGCAGTCAGGCTGAGAGTCCTCAACATCAAGAACTCCCGCAAAAGAGTCTGTCTTTTGCCTTTGTATCCCCATCGGATACAGCACAAACTCATCGAGTTTGCAAAAAGCACCACGTGGGCTTTCCGAGGCCACCAAAAAACAAACACCAAGCCGCTCAAACCCACTGCAGAACCCCAACAGCCTCAACCCCCCCTTTCTTGAGACAAACCCTCAACACCCGGAACACCCTGGACCATCCAACGCTCGAGCACGGTCTCCTTATAAACCCCCTACTAGCATGTAAGGCCGAAGAAAACCCTACCAAAAAGCCCCCAAAAATCCTAAAAAATCCTGGAACCCCAGGCTCCGGCTCCCTCCGTGGCGCGCGCAAAAACACTTTAAACAAGTCCGCGTCCGGTTGGATGCTTGCGGCTGGCGCGCCAGACGTCTGCTACTTCTGGTATAGGGGCCTGAAGAATCAGAATAGGGTTTTGGGGGTTCGTATAGTATATCTATAAAGGGATTCTGAGGGAATACTATTCGACCCTAGACCCTAAACCCTAAACCCTAAACCCTAAACCCTAAACCCTAAACCCTAAACCCTAAACCCTAAACCCTAAACCCTAAACCCTAAACCCTAAACCCTAAACCCTAAACCCTAAACCCTAAACCCTAAACCCTAAACCTTAAACCCTAACCCTAAACCCTAAACCCTAAACCCTAAACCCAAAATCCTAACCCTAAACCCTAAACCCTAAACCCTAAACAACCCCTCAGGGCTTAGGGCTTCAGGGGCTTCCGCGGCGCTTCAGGGAGTCGGGTCTTCGGGGCTTTCTAGGCCTTAGGGATCTCTGGGGCCCTCGCCCAGAAGTGCGTGGGGTTTAGGGTTTAGGGTTTAGGATTTAGGGTTTAGGGTTTAGGGTTTAGGGTTTAGGGTTTAGGGTTTAGGGTTTAGGGCTTTGGGTTTTGAGTTTTGGGCTTTGGGCTTTGGATTCCCCACACACTCCACAACCTCATGCCCCCCCCCCTCTGCACAAATCACGCCAGACATGCACACCCGGACATGAATCAAGCTCCACTCACTGTCCTATGGAAGCCTCGGTCGGTCAAGGCAACAAGCATCAACAAACAACCCTGAAGGCCCAAAACCCGGGACCCTAACCCCCAAGCCGAACCCTATTTTCACCCCAAACCCCAAAAGACCTTGGGGTTTAGGGTTTAGGGTTTAGGGTTTAGGGTTTAGGGTTTAGGGTTTAGGGTTTAGGGTTTAGGGTTCAGGGTGTAGTGTTTTGGGTTACCCCTAAACATCTGACACCTATACTCCCTGAGCAGCCAAAGACCCCCGAATTAAACCCTCTATCCCTACAAACCCCGAAAGAACTGAACCCCCCCCCCCCCCCCAAACACCTTAAACCCGTAGCCCACTCTACCCCTAAACCCTAAACCCTAAACCCTAAACCCTAAACCCTAAACCCCTGGACCCCCAAAACCCCTGCCAAGGAACTTGGAGTGCAGCCGCTCCCGGCGAGACCCAGGTCGTGAATCAGGGGCAGATTTCACCTTGGGGTGTCTTCGATCTAAGGGTGGCTACATGGGCCCTTAACGTGGTCCCTCGCCTCCTTTTAAAGGGTTCTGAAGTATGGGCCCTTTATTTGTATAGGGTATATATGCGGTATTTAGGGGGTCCCCTTTTTTAAGGGCCCATTCTAGGGGACCATGTAACTACCCTAAGATTCGAGGGTTGGGGTTCAGGGCTCGGGGTTCAGGCTGTCTCGCACTGAGGGGGCGCGCTGGTGTTGAAAGCACCCAAGAGAGCGCACGCCCCCGAGTCGCATATCCTCCCTTGCTTTCTGATCGTGTTCATGTGTTCATTCGCGATCTAGCCCGGGGAGTAATCGTGAAGGATGCGGATAAACTTAAGATAACTTTTCAACTCGATCGCAAAGAACTCGTAATGGTTTAGACAAAAATATGCGAGTTTGAAACGAAGAAAAAAGTAGCCCAGTTGAACGCATGTGATGTTGAATATATTGCAAAACCATGCTATCGATAACTTAGTACACACATTGCCTAGAGCAGTTATTTTGCCATGCTGTTGTGTTTCCGTTTATTGTGGTCACTTTTTTGAAAAAAGACTACTTTGGAAGGCAAGTGATACTTTCATGTTAAACGATATTGTGATGAGTGTAACTATGTGCCTTGTGATGATAATATATTGAATCCTGTCTTGATAGCAAATCTAGAAAGTAAACGAAACTTTGGCGCCCAGGACCGGCTTGAATCCGGCCATCCTCCTTTCAAGACTCCCATGCTGACTCAGTCTAGGGTGACTGCGGCTATGCAAAAGAAAGCTGAACACAGGGTTGAAGGTTCAAAGAAAGCGCATAGAGTTTGTGTCCGGAGCTTTGGGTGGGCGAAAGTCTTGGATGAACGTTTTGTGCGGGCTTTTGGGCAAGTTTCGGTTGAGGGTTTAGGGTTTAGGGCTTAGGGCTTAGGGTTAAGGGTTTAGGGCTTAGGGCTTGGGGGTTTACGTTTTACGATTAGCCTGGGCCGGCGATTCCCAAGGCTCCTTTACATCACCACGTGCTTGGTACCACCCCACCCTCCCAGAATCCCTTTTCATGTGAATTCTATATCCTATCTTGACTCGGCAATATCTGCACACATGCTTCAAAAAACTTCCTCCGTCAGATTCAGGAGACAGTGGCCGATTCCAGCAATAATGAGGCACAGATTTCAATCCAGAAATGACACCATGATGTTCCAGATTCGGGCGTTCCAAAGCCTTGAGGACAATTGAGACGTTGAAAGGTGCGCGTAGCGCGCAGGCGGTTTTTCAGGGTGTGGGTGTCAGAAAAATGTATCACGTAAGGAAGGGGTCAAAAAGAAAGACAAAACCAAAACGTTGCATTAAGGTTAAATATATGCAGAGGTAGCAAAGGTTGAGGGTCCAGGGGTTGAAGGTTTAGGGTTTAGGGGCTCAGCCGCAACTTTATGTCGACTCCCGTGATAAGGTTTAGGGTTTAGGATGTAGGGTTTAGGATTTAGGGTCTAGGATTTAGGGTTTAGGGTGAGGTCTCATTACTACGGATCGCTTTTTGTCGTCGTGCTTGTGCACCTCAACTCCAAGCCCAAACCACCAAGCTCTAAACACCAAAACCCAAACTCAAAGCCCCGGACCACTCAAGCCTAGACCCGGTCCCCCAAAACCCAAAACCACAAATCCTGAGGTTTGGCTTAGGGTTTAGGGTTTAGGGTTCAGGGTTTAGGGTTTAGGGTTTAGAGTTTAGGGTTTAGAGCTTAGGGTTTAGGGTTTAGGGTTTGGGGCTTAGGGTTTCGGGTTTAGGGTTTAGGGTTTAGGGTTTAGGGTTTAGGGTTTAGGGTTTAGGGCGGCCCAGTGGCTGCCCGTGCTTCCGCGTGGGATGATGAGCGGCCCCCGCTGCTGCTTGATGCGCGGTGCCATGTTCACCGCCGAATTCCTGGGGCTGGCAGGGAGGGTTTAGGGTTTAGGGTCTAGGGGGTTAGGGTTTAGGGTTTAAGGTTTGGGGTTTGGGGTTTGGGGTTTGGGGTTTGGGGTTTCGGGTTTAGGGTTTAGGGTTTAGGGTTTAGGGTTTAGGGTTTAGGATTTTTGGTTTAGGTTTAGGGTTTAGGGTTTAGGGGGCTTAAGATTCAACGGGCTTAGAGGTTGGCAATTGGGGTTCAGCTCTTCCGCACGCATGTAGCCCCCTAAGCCATAAATCCTATAGGGACCTACTTTCCAACAGCCCCCTTGAACCCTAAACCCTAAACCCTAAACCCTAAACCCTAAACCCTAAACCCTAAACCCTAAACCCGAACTTACAGGGGGTTTAGAGGGCGGGGAAGGAGGGAGGGAGGGGGGCTTCTGAGGAGTCGAACTGAGGGCCCCGACTCGTAGTGGCGCATGTTGGCTTCCAGCCCCTGCCAGGCAGCTCTCATCCAATGAAGATGGTGGGAATTAAGGGTTTAGGGTTTAGGGTGTATGGTTTAGGGTTTAGGGAAAGTTGCGAGTATCATGAATATCGTGGTTTGGGGTTCGGGGTTTAGGGATAAGGTTGAGGGGTTAAGGGGTTTAGGGGGGCCAGGTTGATGAAACAGCAACTGCGACCAAACCAAAGCTCATCATGTCGGTCAGGTGAGGCTAAACCTTGATAGCACAGAAACCCGCAATGCGCCGCAGGGCTGTTGTCCGAATCTCTTGATTGTGCTGGCCAGTTCATGTCATGAGTGCAGCAACAGCGGCCTGGATGTGAGCGATGGACACAGCTGCGATCTTGCCACGAACCTAGCACTAAGGGCACTCAGAGAACTTTTTCAACGATCACGGGCGGGAACCGTCGCTGCAAAAAACAAGCGTAGCCCTTACTTCTGCTGGAAAGCCTATGCATCTCATACATGCTTGGAGTCATTACACAGAACTTCTCCCTACCAATCCTACAAAGCCCCTCAGCAATCAAACCAAGCAGTCGCCGTTGACCCCTCGTCTGCTCGACACTCCTTGAGAGGTGCCTTGCGGTAGCGCTGGAAGACGTAATTGTGGAAGACCTCCGCAACTCACGGGGATTAGGGGGATCCCCACGTGGGGTCGACTCTTATGCAGGAAATCCCTCACTCTGAAGAAAAGGTACCGAACTGGGGCCCTAATTTAGACGAAACGCCTCCAAAAAAGCTAAAGCCCTGAATCCCCAAACCCAAGCCTTACAGCCCCAAAGCCCAAAGCCAGAAGACCCTCAAAAACCCTAAAGCCAAACCCTATGCCCTAATCCGTAAACCCTAAACCCGAAACCCTAAACCCTAAACCCTAAACCCTAAACCTTCAGGCTGCTCCCGCCTCCATGGAGCGCTGTGCATAGACTGGCTCCAGGAAGTTCACGAAGGCGTAGCCCACCTGAGGCTTTTTGGGTTCTGCAGTTTAGGGTTTAGGGTTTAGGGTTTAGGGTTTAGGGTTTAGGGTTTAGGGTTTAGGGTTTAGGGTTTAGGGTTTAGGGTTTAGGGTTTAGGGTTTAGGGTTTAGGGTTTAGGGTTTAGGGTTTCGGGTGGGTTGAGATGTTCCCCCTTATACTAACAGCCCTTAACTGGGATTCTGGTAGGGTTTAGAGTTTAGGGCTTAAGGGTTTACAAAATACGCCGAATCGTTTAGGTTCAGAGCTCTAGGGTTGTTGGGTGTGGAGCTCTGGAGGTTAAGGGCTTAGGAGGCGCGGGGTTGAGGGTTTGAGGATCCATGGGGAGTGCAGGTCAAAGAGGAATCAGCAGCTTCTGCTGTTCGTAGCTCTCCGACTTCATAAACCAATGCATGGCTGGTGTATCTCATGTCCGTGGGAGCCTGAAATCACAGCTGGGTCGACCCCATTGCGACCCAGCACCTCAACCGACGTGACCTTCGTGTGGCCAAGCTGCATTGCAAAGCGTCCCCTTGTCGATGGGCAAGTACCTTGAATCGCGAGGCTCACAAAGGAGCTGGCAAAGCAAACCCTTGCCCTTGCCCAGGATGCTTCGATGCTGAAGACTCCTGCGCCTCCCCCTAACCCTGCATGCTGCTGGTCAGCTACTTGGAGGTTCAGGGTACTTTTAACCCCAATTCTAAATGCACTTATAAGACCCCTAGGTCCCCTAAGTAAGAAGTAAGTAGACTTCTAGTTGGGGTTAGAAGTACCCATGAACCTCCAAGTAGTCTCTCTCCAAGCCAAAGTCGCAAGAAGTCGTAGGTCCCTTCGAAGCCAAGCCCGTCCAACTCGCGCACGAACTCCCGTTGAGTGTAGCGGTTCGGAATGTTGCCTGAGCGTGCGGTGCATGGCGCGTTTAGAGCTTAGGGTTTAGCATTTAGGGTTTAGGGTTTCGGGGTTCCCTCAATAGCATGGTCTTTCAATTGCTCCCCACCCTCGGTGCGGGGTTGTCGGCTTCCAAAATAAACTCCTCTCCTCGCCCGGTCCACTCCTTGCCCATCACCCGTATCCCACCCCAGAGAATCCAAGAGAAGCCCTGGACCGCCAAAACCCGAAAAATACTCCCAAAAGTCCTAAAATCCTGGAATGCCCAACCCCAGAGTGTTCCCTCAGAGATGTTCAGAGCATCCCCCAGCTCCGGAGCACCCCCCGAATCGTCTCCAGACCATCCCCGGAGTGTGTTTCACCCGAGAGTATCCCCAGACAATCCCTGGAGTGCGAAACCCCAGGGTATCCGCAGGGAATCCAACTCCAGAGTATTCGCACGTGCCCAATCCCAGAGAATCCCCAGAGAATCCCCAGAGTGTGTTCCTTGCCTGCAGGGTGGGGATGGTCGGAAGTAGTACTTACCGGTGGATACTGACTTTAACTCTTGCTGGCCCCCTGCTCCTGCAAACGTTCTTGTCACAAGCCAGGCTACGAATCATCATCGTGGTTGGAGGAGTGCGAAGGGGCGTCTTGGAGAACTCCGCTGCCTCAGAGGTCAAGGAGTTGCATCGCTCACAAGCTTCCCCGCCCGCACCACTGCTGTTTGGTCTCTCCGCATCAGCACTGCGCAGCTAGGCCGTGTTCGAACTCCACTCAGCCGCAGTCCCCTTGTGTGCGGCATTCTGAGTATGCCTAGAGCCACACTGCGAGAAATACCCTTGCACCAGGAGGCAAGATTCACGGTCTTGGGAACCTGGTTGTGGGTGAACTCTGCCTGCACCCAATCACATCGGCGGGAGCAGTTCCACCCTGCATTGTTTGGCGAGAGCCTGAACCTTTGAAGAAGATCCGACATTCGGTCAGAAGAGCAAAGCCCTCACAAGAAGCACCCGGACCCAACAACACAAAATCCAATAACATCCCCGGACATCCCCCCGAAATAAAGACCCCAAACCCTACACCCGTACACATCCCGCCTTGCTCCCATCCTTGGCCGCAGCCACACGTGGATGGTCGCGCTCGTCCTCCTGACAAGCGCGTCACCCGCACGGAGGGTGTTTAGGGTTTTGGGGTGCAGGTTGTTGGCGTTGGCATGATTTAGGGGTTAATTCGTTCTGACTAAAGACATTCGTGCGCCTTCCAGGCAAGCTCGGAATCTACATGCTTGATGTTAAGTATGTCCCTTGAACTTTCAGTCGCCGATCGCTTCTTGGCACGAGGCACGACAATGGACGACGAGCCAGTCGGCGTTGGTATTCCAGCTGCCACTAAAGGCCTTCTACTACCTTTAGCGCCATTCCCAAGACCTGTACGGCTGTACATACAAAAGCTCAGATACAAATACATTTTACTCAGTGCATCATCTTGCTTCAGCACTCACTTGCTGCAAAATATGCGATTGCCATGCAACAATAGTAGCAATGCAGCAGTGAATTTGGACACTACCTTTGCAGGTAGTTCTCTAGATTAGGCTCCTTTTTTGTGGCTGTCATGATACGGACCCTTATCAGGATAGTTCCCTAAACTCTGGTACCCTTTTGGATTCCCTCAAGAATATGGCACCTTTACAAACAGGACCCAAAATAGAACTCTAGTTTACACCACGCTTTGGGGAACCGACCATGTGGAAGCGCGCTGGTTCGATCTCAGATGGAAGCTCCTCAATGATGGGGCCAATCTCGATTGTCGTCAAGCCTGTGGCTCAGAGATGTGCAGACTGTCCTAGCAACTTCCGTGTCGCATGGCTGGCTGGTTCTTAGTAGGGAATGAAGGGAATGAGGTACCCTATACAATCCCTTAAAGGGTATTTTACATAGGGCCCCAATTCCCTCCTTCCCTATATAAGAACCAGGGCGATGGCATGCACACAGGAGCCACAGGCTTTTGGATCCTCCCTGCCTGTGTCGTCTTGGCAATCTGCCCACAGCTCCGAGCACATTGAGCTCACGGAACCGCTGGAGCAGGCCTTGTGCATCGGATTCACCTGCAAAGTGAGGGTTTAGGGTTTGGGGTTTAGGGTTTAGGGTTTAGGGTTTAGGGAGCCAGCAACAAGCTCGCACCGACTCGGCTGTAAGAGCTTCAACTGTGCCAAGTTGAGGTCAGTCCTGGGGAGCAAGAGGTAAGAGCAAGCGATCCTGAAAATGACTCGTCAAGCGGCAGCTTCTGACGACTGGGCCAAGTCAAACGGAGCTTGGCTCGACGTTCTGGAGAGGAAGAGAATAGAAAGAGTGCATAAGCTGCCACTGTGTCTTCAGTGTACATTGGCGGCAAAGCCCTACCTCAACGACTTCGTGAATCCCAAACGCGTGAGATCTCGACAACCGATTGCCCAACAGGTTGCACCAAACATTCAACTACCCCAAATGACAAACCCCAGACCCCTGGAACCTTCAACCCTAAACCCTAAACCCTAGACCCCTGGAACCTTCAACCATAAAGAACCCCCTAAGGCCCAACCTACGCACGCAGCGCCAAAAAGTCCCGGCCTTCGAGATCGAGTGGTCCTGCAATAGGGTTTAGGGTTTAGCGTTTAGGGTTTAGGGTTTAGGGTTTAGGGTTTAGGGTTTAGGGTTTAGGGTTTAGGGTTTAGGGTTCATGTCCGGGGAGGCACTGGAGCTTTCGTTGTGCTCTGTGAACATGTTCTTCCCAAAAGGTCAAATGATTCGTGAAAGTCTACGCGACTCTGTTCTACAAAGCTGTGCTATAGTCTCTAGTCTATTCTAGTAGACTACAGTCCATTCCACTACACCATCTTCTGATAGTCTATTCTAGAAATACAGCCCATTATACTCTACCATCTCTTGGTAGCCCAGGAACCAACTTCTAACAAGGGCATTCTTGGGATTGGTTACGTTCAAAGGCAACCTGGAACCAAAAACAGGGCAAAAGGTTACCTCTGGGCTAACCCTAAACCCTAAACCCTAAACCCTCACCTCTAAAACCCGAAACCCCCAAACCGTAAACCCTAAACCCTTGTAAGGTGGCGTTTGAGGCTGCCGGCACAGAAGCCCCTGAGTTGGAGGCTTCAGGTTCTCCGTTGCACCCCCGGAACCGCGAAGCCTGAACATGCCGCCACGCCAAAAGTATGGTCTCGGTTTAGGGTTTAGGGTTTAGGGTTTAGGGTTTAGGGTTTAGGGTTTAGGGTTTAGGGTTTAGGGTTTAGGGTTTAGGGTGTAGGGTTTAGGGTTTAGGGTGTAGGGTTGCCTGAAATCCCAAGTTCCAAACAAGCCCTGAACCCCGGCGACATATGCCACACGAACCCTACACCCCAAACCCTGCGCCGCACCCCTTATACGAACAGTCCTTCAGAGGGATGATAGTATGGGGTACTAGAACCCTAAACCCTAAACCCCAAACCCTAAACCCTAAACCCTAAACCCTAAACCCTAAACCTCCATATCTCGGGACCTGCCTCGGCCTCGGAGGCCATGGTGCTCACGGAGCTGCTCGAGAGGATGCGCTTCGAAGAGAGTCCCGTTACGGGGTCCTCGGAGAGGGCGTTTAGGGTTTAGGGTTTAGGGTTTCGGGTTTAGGGTTTAGAGTTCAGCATTTAGGGTTTAGCGTTTACGGCGTCTCTGAAAAGTAGGCGCTTGCGCTTCGGGGCTTCAGGGCGTGCAGTCCGCATAATTAGTGTCCTGTCGACCTGGGATGACTGGCGTGCCATTAGGCATCCAGCCTCTGCTCTTAAACCTAAAGTGCCCCTAAACCCTAAACCCTAAACCCTGAACCCTAAACTCTAACCCTAATCCCTAAACTCTAAACCCTTGGCTGCATCCGAGAGGCCTTGGCCGGGAAGCCTTGCAGAGAGGTGGGGCAAAGCTTCCGGGCAAGCTCGCTTTCGGATTGAGGTCTTTTGTTGGTAAAGCCCCTAAACCCCCTAAAGCCCCGAAAGCCCCTAAAGCCCCCAAAACCCCTAAACCCCTAAAACCCCCCACCTGCGCACTCGGCAATCTTGCGCTGCAAGGTTCGGAGCTCCTCCGCCGGATGCGACTCATCGAAGTTGTCGGGGGGGGGGCTTTGCAGGGCTTAGGGTGAGGGCTTCAGGGTTGAGAGCATTTGTGGGGGGGTTTAGGTTGTTTTGGGGGCTTCAGAGCTCCGGACTCCGAGAATCGCATCCCTTCATGCTTCAGGTGATGCCCACCTAAGCCCTAAGCCCGAAACCCTGAACCCTAAACCCTAAACCCCAAACCCCAAACCCTAAACCCTAAACCCTAAACCTAAACCCTAAACCCTAAACTCTAAACCCTAAACCCCAAACCCCAAGCCCTAAACCCTAAACCCTAAACCCTAAACCCTCAACTCCAAAAGAAGGCGACACGCCCACGGCGCCTCCACAGAGGGTGCGACAGGGGACCTCAGAGTCGGCACATCTTCTTCGGCTCTTTTGGGGGGGGGGGTGGGGGGGGCATCCGAAGCTACTTCGGAGACCCTAGAGAGCCCTAGAGGGGTTTAGGGTTTAGGGTTGAGGGTTGAGGGTTGAGGGTTGAGGGTTGAGGGTTTAGGGTTTAGGGTTGAGGGTTTGGGGTTTGGGGTTTGGGGTTTGGGGTTGAGGGTTGCCCTAAACCCCCCCTAAGCCCCGAAACACCAAAGCCCTACAAACCCTGAAGCCGTATACCTATAAAATCCAAAACCCGAGGCCCCGAGATCACTCAATCCCGACACCCCCCCAAACCCTAAACCCTAAACCCGCAACCCTAAACCCCAAAGCTTTAAGGGTTTAGGGTTTAGGGTTTAGGGTTTAGGGTTTAGGGTTTAGGGCTTTTGGGGTCGGGCCGCAAGTCTAAGTATCTCACTTCTCGCCGGGATCTCTAAGTATTGGGGGCGCAAGGTCCAGCCATCATAGCAAAGAAGCAACCTGGTGAAGTCCTGAAGAGAACCCCAAAGCCACCCCTAAACCTGACACCCTGAACCGCCCCCAAACCCCCCAAAACTCCCCTAAACCCCAAACCCTAAACCTTAAAATCCTAAACCTTAAGACCCTAAACCCTAAACCCTAAGCCCCAAACCCTATACCCTAAACCCCAAACCCCAACCCCACACACAAAAACCCTAGACCGTAAACCCTAAACCCTAAACCCTAAACCTTAAGACCCTAAACCCTAAACCCTAAACCCTAAACCCTAAACCCTAAACCCTAAACCCTAAACCCTAAACCCTAAACCCTAAACCCTAAACCCTAAACCCTAAACCCTAAACCTTACACACAAACACAAAGAAAAAACTGTTCATCCCCGGGACTCGGCTGGCGGCGCCAACAGCTCTTTGCTCTCCGGCGCCGCCGAGATCTTGTTTAGCTTCTGCACCTCACAGACGTACAGGGTTTAGGGTTTGGGGTTTAGGGTTTAGGGTTTAGGAGTTCGGGGTTAGAGGTTTAGGGTTTAGGGTTTAGGGCTTAGGGTCTAGGGTTTCGGGCTTGGGGTTTAGGGTTTAGGGTTTAGGGTTTAGGGTTTAGGGTAGGGGTTGGGGGTTACAGTTTAGGGTGGGCTCTTAGCAGGGAACTAGGTGCCCCACCGGCCGTGGGGGGGGGGGGGGGGGGGAAGTGAAGTTAAGAACCCTAACCTTAAAAACCCCACTAGGGCGAAGCCCGAAGTTCCCTAACGCCCTATGAAAGCAGAGAAAGCTTGGGGTGAGTTGAGTTTGGGGTCCTGAGAGGGCCAGAGCGTCCCGGGCTTTGGAGCCTCAGACTCAGTTGTGGGGGGGGGTTTTAGGTTTCGGGTTTCGGGTTTCGGGTTTAGGGTTTAGGGTTTAGGGTTTAGGGTTTAGGTTTTAGGTTTTAGGGTTTAAGGGTTTAAGGGTTTAAGGTTTAGGGGTAATTGCGTCGGGCTGTCCAGGTTTACGGGAGGGCAGGTCACTGCTTCGCAAGGAGCCCTGACCTACGAAGGTTTCCTCCTGCCGTGAAAAACCCGCCCCAACTCACCACACATGGCACAAGACAGCTGGGACGAAACCCCCAAGAAACAAAACATGGGGGGTTTCCCAAATAGTAGGATTCCCGGATACTATGAGGTACCCCAAACTCAGGAAGCCCCCCATACTCCTCAACCCGAAACCTCAAAAAGCCCAGCTCTCCCAACTCCGAATGCCCAACTCCTTAGACCCTAAACCCTAAACCCTAAACCCTAGAACTCCAAGAGGCCTCTGATGACCCCCCTCCTTCTGACGTGGCACACAATCCTCGTATTCGGACATGTCCGTGGCCGTGGTTCTCTGCACATCTGCCTTAAGAGGGGTGGGTTTAGGGTTTAGGGTTAGGGGGGTTGAGGGGGTTCAGGGGGTTAAGGGGGTTTGGGGGGTTAAGGGAGGGGGTTTGGGGGGTTTAAGGGGTTTAGGGGGTTTAGAGGGTTTACGGTTTCGGGTTGAGGGTTTAGGGGGCTTGAATTGCAGATTCAGGGCCCAGGGCTCGGAGCAGCCCTTTTCAGGGAGAAGAGACTTGGGGTTCAGGTCTGTGTGGGGGTTTGGGCGGGGGCGCTCTTTGCTGCCCATCCCGGAAAGGCAACTCCAATGATGTCATGCTCAACAATCCCCTCAGCGCTCCGCGCAGTCAGGCCCATTGCGGTGCAGGGCTTCGGGGCATGAGGTTTCGGGCTTGGGGCTTCCCAACGCAAACACCTGCCACCCAGTCACCGAGCGAGCACGACGTGGTGGCGACTCGTCAGCAGCATACCAGTGCAGGAAAGTGTGCTTCACCTTCAATGGCCAGCAACAACTGGTGACAACTGGTATATTGGGGGGGGTTGTTCCTCTAAACCCTAAACCCTAAACCCTAAACCCTAAACCCTAAACCCTAAACCCTTCGGGAGTCCTTGTTTCTGTAAGGGATTGCACTATACGTTGTACTTCAAGGGGGAGTTTAGGGTTTAGGGTTTAGGGATCAGGGTTGAGGGTTTAGGGTTTAGGGGTGTCCTTTTTGCTGCAAAGATTCAGTGGCCAGCATCGCGCCTGTCTTCTGTGATCAGGCCGAACAAAGCCCTGGCAGATAAATGCCGAATGCAAGCTATCCAAGAATGCACAATAGGGTTTAGGGTTTAGGGTTTAGGGTTTAGGGTTTAGGGTTTAGGGTTTAGGGTTTAGGGTTTAGGGTTTAGGGTTTAGGGTTTAGGGTTTAGTACAACCACGCCATCCTCATTCGCAGATTGACAGAATGGCCCACTTTGCTTTCAAGGCTCCAACTATCTTAGCACAAGCCAGTCAGCGACTGCAAAAGCCCTCAGCCCAAGCAGCCACCCCGCCTGAATAATCGGCCGCAAAAGAAGCGAATGGCTTCTGAATGCACTGAGCCGGTAAGCCACAAACGCAGACGCAGCAGAAGATATCTCCCCTGCCAACCCTCCAAATTACACGTACACTTACATGCAAGCCGGCCCATGAAACTAACTTGTGCAAGGACCGCTTCGTTTTCTTGCCCCATCTGAGTCCTACCTCCGCGTCAGGCTGTGGTGACAGAGCTTTTATGTACAAGTAGCGCAGCTTCCTACCTCGACCGCTGCCAACAAGACGAGCACGCGATCAGACAGGACCGCTTCAGGCATTGCTCTTGCCATGGGCAAAGAGACAAGCTGCCTGTGACTCTGTGACCCTGAACCCCCAAATCCTCTAACCCTGAAGTGTGCAGCGTACTGATAATTCAGAGGCCCCTCCACTTTCCGCCGTGATAGCTCAAGAGTCACGGTCAGACAGCCAATCTTCCACCGCACCCGCAAGGCACTCGGCGAAGTCCTGTGGACCTTGCTGCTGTCAAGAAGCCGGGCTCAGGGGTGTCTGGGTGGATCTGATATTGCTGTGGCTGTGGGGCTGACACTGTTGACTCGACCTCATCCCCCCAACAACCCCCACGAAGGACATGCTTTCCCCTCACTTCGCTTCGCTTCGCCTTCCTTTCGCCTTCCGTTCGCTCCTTTTCGCTTGGTTTCGCGCAGCCGTCCCTTGAATCTTCCTGGGGTGGGTGCGTTCCTCGCAAAGCGCGTCTGAGCGGCGCGGGTGTCCGGTGAAGCTGCCCAAGGCGTGGCTGACAACCCGAAAGCTCGGGCCTCCAGGTATGGGCTTCGGCGGTTCAGGGTTTAAAGTTTTTTGGCCTCTGTTTATAGGTCTAGTGAATAAAGATGTTGAAGGATTTTCTGTAAGTGTGATGAGTAAGGTCTAGAGTCTGTTAGTCGAAAGAGCTTGAGGCGCAAGTCTGTCCCCAGGGGCCACCTGCTAGTGCTTGCGCCGTTCGCAAGGCGTCGGCAGCACCCCGGCGCACGGCCGCCGGGCCCTCGCTGGGCCGCGGGAAGAGGGACACCGCCAGGAGCCTGGGAAAGGAGGGCTTCGACTTAACATCTTTGAGTTCAGTAAGTTTAAGGGCTTCGGGAGGGAGAGGGAGGTGCTTCTTGAAAGTTGGGATGTTGTGGGAGGTTCAGAGTGGACCCGAGGTCTTCTAAGGCGGGGCTCAGGGTCTCCAAGCATGTGCTGAAGGCCTGAAAGCCCAAGGAGCTTAGAGGGGATCCACACCTCACAGGGCCAAAGGCCGTTCTTGAACCCCAAATCCGCCATGCGGCCGAATGTTTCGGCTCTCGTGGCTTACGAACACCTGCCGGGAGGGAGAGAAGGGAGGGGTGTTTAGAGGTAGGTTCCCTAAATTAGGGTCCGATTGAGATTAAGCCAGACGTGGAGAGGTGAGACGTGCAGCACTTCACTGCATTTGGTTTGCATTTGTTCTTGCACCGCCCAACCCCACCTCTCCATGTCCAAAGCCATCGTGTGGAGGAGCTTGACACATCTGCTGTGCGATGTCGGCAAACTGCTCCGGGAAGGCTTCGCTGATGGCTTTTTGTAGGTTTCCTGGCGATGCCCTGCCACCCCTCAAGGCCCCTAAATGCCCCCCGATGCAATGCAGAGAGGCCATGGCCTGGTCCCGGTCAGTTAGAGGCCCCAAAGGCGACCACAGCTCTGCACTTCACAAAAACCATTAACAGCAAAGAGGACCCAAACGGACGCGCCAAAGAGCCCGAGCACAACGCAGCAAAGCAAGTCCCTGCCACGTTTTCGCGACACGCGGAGCAGCGAAGGCCTCCAAAAGTGCATAGAACCCAGGCGGGAGGGCGACTTGGACCACGGAATGCGCGCGGGACCTTGCGAGAGCGCGAGGATTGTCACGTCGGACTAGGCCAAAACCCAGGCATTACAAAGAAAATCACGCTCCGCGAGTCCGCGAAGCGCGCGGATGGGATCCCCAGCACAAGATACCAAGATTTAAGGGTTGGGGGTAAGGAGGAGGTAGCGGCACAACGAACACGGCCCGGATAAGGGCTGTCGCCTGGGTGTTGGAACCCAAGCCTGAACCCCAACTCACCACCCTGAAGGCTTCAAGCGAAGTGTCCTGAGGCGAGGCCGGCAGTGTTCGCCCCGTACATGATGAAGGTGGGCACGTCACGAAACGCATCGGAATCGACATGCCTGGGCCCCAAGCTTAGACTTCGCAGGCTTCAGAGGCTTGGCTTCAGGGCCCGAACCCTAAACCCTAAACCCTAAACCCTAAACCCTAAACCCTGAAGTCCACGGAGCTGGGCACCGAGCCCTGGTTAACAATCAACAGCCCCCACGTCCGCGCCTTGCGAGAGCGCTGGGCGGCGCAGCCGCCGTCGCACTGGCGGAAGAGGCCCCACTGCCCCCTGGCCACTATAGAGATGCCAGAAGTTTCAGGGTTTAGGGTTTAGGGGTTGAGGTTTAGGGTTTAGGGTTTAGGGTTCAGGGTTTAGGGTTCAGGGTTTAGGGTTTAGGATTCTTCCACATGCGAGCCGTGGCCCTACCTACATCCGATCACTGCGTGAACGCAGACGCGAAGAAGGACGCGCGGCTGGCCTCCAACCTCCTCTCCCAGCTCTTGACCCAAGGCCACGGCAACCATGTCACCTGACATGTTTGGGGATAAGATTTAGGGCGAAGCCGATTTCCAAGTCGGGATGTTGGCTTCCTTGGTCTTGCATGTTGGCTTCCTTAGTCTTGCATCAGTCTCGCGTCTGCTTTTCTTCGCGTTACCATCGAGGTATCGGTATCAGTGCATCAGCTGCCACTGGCACTGCTGAGACAGGCGAGTGGTGAAGCATCGCATCCTACACCTGGAGCCTGAAGTTCCCTCAGCCCCTTCAAGCGTGAACCTTCCAACCCTGCATCTCGAAAACCTGGAACTGCAGCGGACCCTCAAATCCACCCCTCAGCTTCCCTGACGCTGAAACCGAAAAAAAACTCTCATCCGCAAACCTCGGAACCGCAGCTCCTTTTCGAAAAGCTCGAAGCCTCCCAGACCCCAACCCCCTCTCCCTCCCCAAGCCTGAAGACTTCTTTTCCCTAAACCCTAAACCCTAAACCCCGAAACCCTTAACCCTAAAACCCTAAACCCTAAACCCAAAAACCCGAAACCCTAAACCCTGAACCCTAACCACCCGCCGCCCTGCCCCTTCCCCAGAGCCCCTTGCCTCGGAGCACGCGCACCGCCACGCGTGGCTGCAGGATCGCCTAGGGTTTGAGGGTTCTTTACAGTGGGCTCGCCTGGGCCCGGCCTCTCACCCTGAGCCCCAAGCAAAGGACAAGAAGCAAAAGTCTTGAACCACTGAGCATCGAACTTTGAGCAAGAAACAAGCAAACCCCAAACCTTGAACCCTTACTACGATTCTGCAACCATGCAAAGACACACAATAATAGCAACAAATTTGTTTATTAGCAAACCCTAAACCCTAAACCCTAAACCCTAAACCCTCCAAACCCAATCCTTCAGCCGGGGGCGCCAAGGTCGCGGCCGCCGCCTCCACGGTGGCGGCATCCCGGTCCACAAAGGCCAAGAGCAGCCCGGTCGCCATGGTGGGAGGTTTAGGGTTTCGGGTTTAGGGTTTAGGGTTTAGGGTTTAGGGTTTAAGGTTTAGGGTTTAGGGTTTAGGGTTTAGGGTTTAGGGTTTAGGGTTTAGGGTTTCGGGTTCTTTTTTGAGGGGGGTGAGGGGGGCTGGGGGCGGGGTGCGGTTTGGGGGGAAGGGGGCTCAGGGGTATGCGTCGAAAAGACGTTGCACTTTCTGAGGTTTCAAGAGCCAAGCTGCCCACACAGAATCGCCCATGCCTCGAACACCAATCGCAACACCAGCACAGAACCCCGAGGCCCCAGGCCCTGAAGAACTAACAAAACATCTCTGAAACCATACGACCCAAGACATCAAATCAGCATGACAGAATACTAAGCCTGCTCTTCCCCAACCCTCCCCAAACCCCAAACCCCAAACCCCAAACCCCAAACCCTAAACCCTAAACCCTAAACCCTAAACTCTGAACCCGAAACCCTAAACCCTAAACCCCAAGCCCCCCCCCCTCGTAGGATGCCCGACGGAGCCGCTGGTGTCGTCACTCCGGGAGAGTGCGCGGCGAGCCAAGGGTCCTGCGGCCTCGCGGCACGGTTGGGGTGCTTCTTCTACATCCTCTCTTAGACTTGGAGGTTCATGGGAACATGTAACCCCAAGTACAAGTCTACTTATAACCTACTTAGGGGACTTCGGGTGCTTAGAAGTACAGTTGGTTGTAAGTACCGCGAACCTCCAAGTGAATAACGCATAGAATGGACTCCCTGCTAGAATCTGAAAGTAAACCCAATTTCTAGCTGCGCTGCCCCCCCCCCCTCACACAGCTGGACATGTCGAGAACAATCCCTGAACTGCAAAATCCCAACTCTAGCCGGCCCAAACTCCACAAGCCGCCCCTGATAGGCTGAATAACAAACCCTTTACCAACCACTTCCCCTTGCAAACGTTACCGCTGACAATCGATTTCGTTTTCTTCTTACGGTTTGTAGCCTTTGCACACGACATGCAAGCTTCTTCCTTCTCGTTGTGCACTGTACGAGAACGTCGGACAGATGAGAAATGTCCGAAAGAAAGTGGGCATTCGGTGTTCCAATGCTTTCTTCGATTCTACTTGGGCTGCTACGGCCGCTGCAGCGAAAGCGAAGATACGACCTATAGGTACCCTGTGGCAAAATCCCTGCACAACCTTATCACCTTTTTGTCTGCCCCTCATCTTTTACAACGTACACCACTCCTCATGCCGTTTTGAGACTGCAGATGAAGGGCTAACATAAACGATAGGACCGAATGTCAGGCCTTCGACACGACCAGGGCACTCACCGACCTCTGCAGGAAGAGACGTCTGGTGCTACATGTTGCAGAACCGCCGCTCTACAAAACACCTTCTATAACCTGACAAGGAGGCACTCAGCGGCAGCTAGAACTAGAACCCTGCACTATGGTGGCCCTCTTCTCCCTTGACTTTGTGTGACTACACAAAGTTTAGCTAAGGCCTTTGATTATGACCTTGAGGGTTTTCGCGGTTTTGGCGGGTTGCAGGGTGGGTTTCTTGGGGGGCGGGGGGAGGGGAGGGGGAGCGCGGGGGGGTTGCTCAACCCTAAACCCTAAACCCTAAACCCTAAACCCTAAACCCTAAACCCTAAACCCTAAACCCTAAACTACTCCCAGGAGGCTCAGAAGCTTCTCCAGGCATCCGCGCTGCAATACTCGGGGGGAAGGCGCTTCGTCCTTCTCGAGGTTCGGGAAGAGGCTCCTGGAATCGGGGGTCGAGGGCTTAGGGTTTAGGGCTTATGGTTGAGGGTTTAGGATTTAGGGTTCAGGGTTTAGAGCTTAGGGTTGTTGAGGTCGTTAGGTCCAATTATTGGGGTTGCGGGTCTGGGTTGAAGGCTGATGGGGCTCAAGGCTTCGGGTTGTGGGCTGAGAGGCTTCGGGAAGTGGGTGCAGAACTTAGAGCTTGTTAGGGTTTAGGGTTTAGGGCTTCGGGTTTAGGGTTGAGGAACCCTGAACCCCAAGACTGTGAGCCCGGGGTGAGGTTTGGCCGACTGGAGCAAGTGAGTTGTACTACGGTTGCTCTAGGACGCTCTTGGAGGCCACTGGGTGGTCATGAACTGGCTGTAAATAGAGTTGCAACTGGTCAGCCACGATTTGGGCCCAAAACCCTAACACCCTCAAGACCCTGAGCCCTATGGACCCTAAACCCTACTTGTAGCCATGAACCTGCAAGTGGAGGCTTGTGGGCTTTGGGAAGAACATCTTCGAGCTTCGGGCAGGCCCCTCTCAGGGTCCGTGAAACTCGCTCGGGTCTGCGAGCGTCTCGCTGATTTCTATGCTTACGGGCATTCAAAGTCTTACCATTCATTGAACTTGCTGGGCAGACCCCCTTCTACGAAGACCCAAAAACCCCTGAAGCCCCGCGTAAAAACACTAAGCCCTAAACCCTAAACCCTAAACCCTAAACCCTCAACCACCTCAGCCCTAAACCCAAACGACCGCCCTCCCCTTTCCTCAGCTGTAGGCCCGCCACGGGCTTGGCCTTCACAGACCGGTACCTGGCCACAAAGGCTACAGGATGTAGGGAATAGGGTCTAGGGCTTGCAGGGTTTAGGGTTTAGGGTTTAGGGTTTAGGTTTAGGGTTTAGGGTTTAGGGTTTGGGGTTTAGGGTTTAGGGTTTAGGGTTTGGGGTTTGGGGTTTAGGGCTTGGGGTTTAGGGTTGTGGCGCGCGTGCCTTTCAGTGCTCGGATGAAGGGCAGACATCCGTGCAAGGCTTGAACACCTACACCCTAGACGTCTAAACGAGCCCATTGGGAGCTGCTACTTAGACCCAAAAAACAATCTAAACGAGCCATTGGAACCTACTCAGTTTTGGCTAAGGCAATAGCTTTGTGCCGCACACACACACACACATTCTAAGTTGCGGTGGCTATGGCTGCTAGATTTTCGGACATGAAAAGCTGATGCCGCAACCATCCCAAGCATTGCTGCCAGACATGCCAGAACAACTGGAACAGGACAGGAATTGTCACGGTTCAACCCTTGCGAGCACAACACGCAACACACACACAGAGCCCAGATTCTGCGGCAGAAGATGCAACTCCGTCGGCGCGACGTCATCCGCCGAGAGGTCTCAGCAATTGCACGTGTTGCGCTTCGGAGTTTTGGGGGTCTCTCCTCATACTTCAGGCTTCTCCCCCCTGTAGTTTGAGTGTAGTTTGAGTATCGTTTAGGGTACAACACAGGTACAGGGAGGGCGGGCTTGCAGCTTCGATGTGTGTGGGGGGGAGGGGCCTTTAGGGACCTGTACTTCTGCAACTCCCAGGTGCCCGGCCTCGATGAGGGTCTAGGGTTTAGGGTGGATTTAGGGTTTAGGGTTTAGGGTTTAGGGTTTAGGGTTTAGGATTTAGGGTTTAGGGTTTAGGGTTTAGGGTTTAGGGTTTAGGGGTATAAGCAGTAGAGCAGTAGCTGCATGTCGCTGCACCGTGTTCCAAAAGAGCACTGCCGCGCACACTCAGGCTGCACTACTGTACACGGCGATGTTCCCCCATCTACAAACATTCCATAATAAGGATTTAAATAGGGTACTATGATCCTGAAAGAAGGGGGAACATCCCAAACTATACACCATGATAGAACGGAAGCAGAAGTGTTGAGCTACTGCACATCCCTTCAGAGTCTGTAGCGAGCCGTTGTGTGGTGGAAATTGGCGGAAGCAACATAGTTTGGGGACATCACAAACCCTGAAACCTTCAAACGCTGATAAGTCTTCAAGCCTTAGACCCTGTGCTATGCTCGGTGCAGCCTAGGAGTCCAAACCCTACAAACCGATGTTCCCCAAGCAACGAAAAGGGAACCTGCGGTTGAAAGACCCTAAACACAGTCTGCACCCTAAACCGTAAACCCTAAACCCTTAGCCCTAAACCCTAAGCCCTTAAACCCTTAAACCCTTAACCCCTAAACCCTAAACCCTGACACCCTAACCCCTAAACCCTAAAACCCTTGCTCACCCTGAGCGTCTGGCTGTGGTGCTGGTGGTCTCCTCGTTGGCCTCCTCACCTGACAGGGCGAGGCATCTCGAGGGCTGAAGAGAGCTCTGAAACCCTAAACCCTAAACCCTCAACCCTAAACCCCAAACCCTAAACCCTAAACCCCAAACCCCAAACCCTCAACCCTAAACCCTAAACCCTAAGCCCTAAACCCTAAACCCTTCAGGGGCTTTGAAGCAGACGGGAGGGCTCTTCGGGCTTTCAGGTGCTTAACTGCGGGTTTGTTCAGGGTGCCGTGTGCCACTCAGCTACTCCGCCAAACCCTCTGGGTGCCCAAAAACCCTCTGGGGTGCCAGGCGTGTCTCGTTCTCTGTGAAGATCTCACGCAGCTTGGTCTGCCTCACGGCCAGAGGGGGTTCACCCTGACCCTAAACCCCAAAATCCCCCAATCCCAAAACCCCCTAAGCTTCCTTCGTCCTTAAGGCGCAATGCAAGCACTTCTTTCTCCGGTCTCCTTCTCCGACGATAGCAACCCTGAACCTTTCTTTTGGCGATCTGAACAAACTACCCAGAATACCCATGCTGGTGCAATCGGCACCACCCGAACATCCGAAATCTCGTTCAGGGAGCTGGGGGGGGAGGGAAGTGTCGGGGATCTCACTCTGCGGAACGGACCCTGGCCCGACAAAGGCCTCCCAGGTCCGGGCCCAAGGCGGGAAAAAGGAGCATCAGGAGCATCATCGGGGGTCCCATTTCTTCCCCGAACCCTGGGCCAAAGCACCGCCTTTCACCGAAGACGGGACCTACTCAAACCCTCCCAAAACCCCGACAGAGCCTGCAGTCTGGCCGGAAAAAAGGTTGGCCGCGATTTTGGGGCCCATACGCCGCACCCCTTGTTGCAACCTCACCGTTGACGCCGGGACTCACAGCTAGATTTCGGAGGCTAGCTGTCGTGATTGGGGAGTTGGGAACCTTGCAACCCCCTGTGTATCCCAACTCCCATCTCAGAACCCTAAACCCGAAGAACCCCACCT